TCTGCAGAGAAAACACTGGAAGAATTAATATTCTAATAGTTTGGAAACATGTAAATTGAAAACTTCGATTTGATGCTACCTCAGAAATTGCTTCTCAGAACAGTACTGTATTTTCTGTATGGAACCACTTTCCCTTCTACCGTCTGCAGCAGACAATGCTGCTGTAATGTGCTGGTGAACTGCAGCAGTTTCTGCCTCTATTCGCTGCCGGCTGTGCTTCAGCAGCACAAGCTGAACCCTCCTGCAGAAATTCACTGGTTTTGTGAGGGTTTTTTTAATTCTATCATGACTGCTTACAGCTGTTTGCTGGACACAGGACGAGCATGTGTAAATACAGAGTTCAGTGGTAAGTTGCTGCAAGTTGTATTCATTCTGTTTCCCTGTCAGTCTCATCTGGTTCATGTGACAACCTTTGGACTTACAGTAAATTGTCTTGAGACTGAAATCCAGAATGCCAAACTGTATCCCAAAGCACAGGTCCTCAGTGAAGTGGATAAAGGACCAGTTGTGTGAAATGTGTGTGTGTTGGGGGGATGTTACAAATAAAACGGTATGGTCAGAAGACAGTTACATTTTTCACTCTCACAATCTCACACTATCAGATTGATAAAGTTATTCATAAACATCTAGAATAATATTCAGTTGAAACTATCACTGGACTATATTTCATTGCAAGATTGTGAAATATCATTGGTATTAAGAACTAGTTGGACAAGTTTTTGTCAGTTGTTTTTGTAGTTCACCCTTCCTTTAGGCAAAGTGGTGCACTAGAAAATCCTGCCAGCAGTCTTCCCGCTGCCTGAGAAGGCTTATTAAGCAGAAGATGAAACTGGAAAAGCTAGTCACACTCATGCTGTGGCAGCCAAGTGTCCGCTGATGTGTTTGGCCTGTAGTGATACAGGCTGCAGATTCAGGACTGTTTCCAGAGCTATCAGTAGAAATATCCCATTTATACTACTGCCAAGGGAGCTCAGAATACAGTGACTATAATTCTGTGGTATCACTGGGCTGTCTGCATGAGCAGTCTGATAAACCTCCTCAACACTGCACTGGCTGTAGAAAGTCTGGCAGAAACAGGCCCTAAAAAAGACTGTGTTACTGCTCGATTGAAAAAGCAGATGACATGTTTGATGTTTCTTCAGATGGTCCTGAGAGTATACACATGTGAATGTGCAGAACAATTACAAGCTAGAAAAGAGATTCAAAGAAGGAAAGTGTGTTTTAAGGCAGTTGTTTCATCAGCATCTATTCTGCCACAAAACTGTCAGGGTTACCCTCTTCTCAGTGTTCTTGTATCATATATACCAATGAATTATGTTTGATTACTTTTTTCCCCTATGGTTACAGTGTATAGAAAATTTATTTTCCCACAGTGTAAACTAACATTTTCTCTTCCTATGTTAGCAAGATACAAGCATAATATGCTGTATTAAATAATGCATTTCCTATACATATATAAATATATATTACTATGATAACATATCACACGTTTTTAAATAACATAGTCTCTATTTCCCCCCAACATAACAGTATTAAGACAAAAGTACACACAGAAATCAGCTAGTCAACAAAGTAGTTTCAAATGTAGATTTTGAATGGGGGATGCCACTTGTCCAGCTGTCCCCTTCCACCTGAGGGCCACAGACACTGCAGACTTTTGTAACTGAGATGCTGTGTGAAGCAAGAAGGCAGGCTCACAAACTGCTGCGATGGCAGTGCTATCAAGAGTACTTACTGCTCTGCTTCTGGGGTAGACAACTGTCTTTTTCCTATGGCTTACTGTCCACATAGCTGTGCTAGTTCACCTCTGTGCAACCACTCAGTAAAGCAGCTCAGAGAACTCTCTGTAAAAGGAACTTGGGGAAGAGAAAGCAAGAGTAGTTTGTAACCTGGTTGGTTTACTGCACCACCACGCAGCCAGCTGAGTGAAGAGGGAATGCCTGTGTATGAAGAGGCAGCTCCTCATTATGGTTTTGTTGTCAAACCAGTTGCTTTTGAAATTGTGGCCAATGTCACGTTTGCAGCCAGTCCGGCCTGTGGAGGGAATTGCTAGGTAGGAGGTCAGAAAGCCATTCAGATACAATTCCAAACAAACTTTTCCACAGTCATTTCAGTTTATGGAAGGTAACACAATGAACACGAACCACCCGAGGTGTCCGTGCCCTCCAGCTGTCAGCACTCAGCTGCTAGTGCCACAGGACCGTTCTGTGTGCTGAATCCTGTGGGATTTGAACAGCTGTGCATATCAGACTTTTCTTCTTTCCCTCCCCAAAGCCTTCTAGCAAACATCAAAAAGTGATGTTAATAGCTGCCACAAACACTGGCCATTTACCACCATCCACTGAAGTGTTTGCACGTGGAGCACAAGCCACCAGACCACATCTTCTAAAAAGCCACAGCAGAGACCCTACCTGCTCCTCATGATCTCATGCCTGCAGAGGAAGAAGTGCTTTTTAAGGGACCCTGTATTAAAAGTATCCAGACTCAGACAATCTGACAGACATAACAGTTTCCTCCACACTGTTATTAGTGTGTTTACCTGCACACTGTCAAATACCTTAAGCTTAGTCACGTTTGTTGTTGCCATGGCTAGTTAATCTGCTGTAACTGCTGGTTTTATGGGTCTTTTGTACAGAAACTGGGTAAACATTCCCTAAGACAGGTCCATGAAATGCGATTTTATTATTTAAAAAATAGTTGAGGACTAAGGGACCAAAGCAAAATCTCAGTTTGTAAATTCTCTGATTTTGCATTAGCAGCATTTGTCCTTTTTGTTGTTGTTTGTAATGGGCTCTCTCTAATTTTACAGGGAAATTACATTATTTACTGAAGACCAGTCTAAACAGTTCTGTATTTTTTCATTCTGCAGAAGCAGAAATCAGTCATGGGACACTGATTTATTTTTTCCCCAGTTTATTAGCATTAGCTGCTTTATGAATATCCCTTTGACTGTCTGACTATTTAACTGCTCAAGAACATTTAATAAGGCAAGCAAACAGCTTGATCACAGTGTACTCATAACTTCTCTCTTCAGGATCTAGCTTTGCAGCATGACTCTCCTCCCGGTTTTCCATTACTAAACCATATTAAGCATGCTTTGGAAGCAAACTAATTTGTTTTGCTAGGAATCTGTGAGGTGGACACCTTCCCTACACAGTATGATGCAAAACTTGACAGTTACAAGGGCAATTCAGAATTTTTTGTTGGTCTGAAAGACGTAATGTTTTTTGGCCCAATCTGATGACACAAAAGAGGTAACAAGTGTATTTTACAACTTGTCCTGTCTTGATTTTAGGCAATATGGTAATTGTATTTTCCTACATTCTTTCCAGCAGCTCATGCAATAAAGTACTAGATGTTCCCATGATATTCCAGGTTTTTTATATAAACAATTCCATAAATGCTGTCTCTGTAAGGTCTTGCTTTTATTAAGCATTTGTTGTGGTATTGTTCAGCTGCCTCTGACGCTCATCTATGGTACATAAATGGAGCTGGAATGAATTAAATTCAGGTAAAAGCCTAGATCTACAATCTACAGTGGCAAGTAAGGCACAGTATTTCATTGTCTATTCTTACATGCCTGGTTTTTTCAAAGAATCTCTAGACCTCATGAAGAGTAGGCATTTACATGTTAAAAGCAGAAGGGCAGATACTACAATGCATTTAAACTTGGTTACAAGTTTATTAGTTCTCTTTTGCAGATGCATTTAATAGTAGTTCTGTGACTGCAAGTCTGATATACACTGACCGTTGGTGTATATTTAAACTGATATCTATTCCATTTGTACTTTAATGATTCTCACTGAATTTCCTTTAACTTAGTTCACAGAGCTGCTCATTCAGTTTTCCAGTGAATTTATCTGATTTCTGCATTATCAGCTTTTCCCAAATATCTTGCTGGTCTGACTGGCTGAAGCTGAAAGGTTGAAGATCACCAAGTTTGAGCACTGTGGGCAGACAGATATTCTACCATAGAGGAAAAAGAGTTAATGCTGTCTGTTGCAATCAATGAAAATTCCACAGATCAGATCCCCACTGATGTATTAGTTCTTTAACAATTAAAAGTATGATCTTAAAAATGCAGTTCAGTTTTAATTTTGCAGGCACAGAGACACTTTTTCTTCTCACAAGTAAGTATCAAGGCAACTTGTACGTGTTCAGATGCGCAGCCTGGCATAGGTGAGTTGTTGACAGCAGGCTACAACTCTGTAAATAGTTTAGGCTGCCAAGATCAGTATCTTTTAACTTCAGAGTAAGAATTTGTCTTAGTCAGCCTCACTGTTTAAAAATTCAGTGGATTTACAATTTCTTTGGACAATCCTTTAAGAAGTCCCAGGCTTACATCCAGGATTGGATGTAAGGAGAAAATTCTTTCTTGTTAGGGTGGTGAGGCACTGGAATGGGTTGCCCAGGGAGGTTGTGAATGCTCCATCCCTGGCAGTATTCAAGGCCAGGTTGGTCAAGGCCTTGGGTGATATGGTTTAGAGCGGGGTGTCCCTGCCCATGGCAGGGGGGTTGGAACTTGATGATCTTAAGGTCCTTTCCAACCCTAACTGTTCTATGATTCTATGACTTTAGTCTGGAGTATGGTAGTGTTTTAAAAGATCACTGTGAATATGAACAAAATCATCATAATCATCAGTGAATGATGGGTCAAACATATTCATTTAAAAGTCTCCATTGCTCGTGCAGATCCTCCTGACCTGGTAAGCATTTCTCCATGAAAACTCACATTTGCAGCTGAAATTCCATAGTGTGTTTGTCTCCTGAATTTGATTTTATTTGTACATCTCTGCTTCTAGAAACAGAAACCGTAGAAACAGCAGAGCACTGGGCAACCAAGCTGATCTCAAAGTCTTCGACTCCGATTTTACTGTATAGAACCAGTTAGACACATTGGTATCCAGGCTAGTGAATTCTGGTTGCTGTGGAAGCTCAGTAGGTCATCAGTACCTATCTCAGTCTTCAGCCTTGAGATAAAAGGACTAAAGTAACCTGACACAATACAGTTATACAGGAAAGCAGGACACAAGAAGTCCTCAACCTGCAGGTACTCCTTCAGTTACTTTTCGCAGGAGTACAGGGCATTTTGTGTTTCACAGGTTTTGACATAGATTTTAAGTGCACTGGTCTCAAGGCAGTAATTAACAGCACCACAGATTCAATGAACACCAGATAGTTCAAAACTATTGCTGCAATTAATTGCTCCTGTTGCCCTTAGTGTACCCAAGAGAGCAGAAGACAGGCAAAGTCACTCAAAAGCCTTTGGAAAATGCACTTTTGGGAAAACAAGTATGAGATTCAGAGGAAAAAAAATATGATTCCCAAGTCACCTGGATTTTAAGAAGGTTGATTCTTGTGACATTAAGACACTTCAGTTTCCCACTAGTGGGTTGCAGTCATCTTGTTGACTTCGAAGCTTTTTCTTGAAGATGGATATTGACGTGGATGGCTGGTAAAATATACTCCAGATCTCTCCAGCAGAGGTAACCTCATTGGAATCTTCTGTTCCAGTTGCAGATGGTATCTGATGGGATCTAGGAAACAAGTGTTAATTCACTGCGAGTGTTAAGGTGCTTGGGGTGCTGCTGCTTTTAGTCAGTTTCCACGAAATCTGTGACACCTTTTCTTTCTACCTGTGGCACAGTTACATGGGGTTTTGGAGTGTTTGTCGGTTCTTTCTTGACCAAATGAAAAATTAGGCATTCTGTTGCTAGAATAGCTGCTACCCTAACAAAAGCAACAATATTAAGAAGCCTGTACATATTCTGTTACTAACTGCCATTAATATACATATATTTCCATGTATATTTAAGCCTGTTTGTGGTATGTAAATACAATATTCAACATTTACGATTCACTGATAACTCAGCCATCATTTTATTCAATGAGTGTCCATCTAGAGGACACAAAAATTACTTGGTATAAGTGTAGAGAAATACAGTAATAATGTTATGTTGTTTTTATTAATAGGCAAAAAAAACCCCAACCCAAAACAACCAACAAACTGGTTAAGTGTCACACCATAACACAGATTTTAATTTCTGTGATTCTTTTTTGAACCAGTTTCAATATTTCAGTAAAAGACAGTATTAACTAGCCCTTATCTAACTCTTTTCCCCAGTTTCCTGTGCTGTGATGGGGTTTTAATTTTTCCCCACAAAGTATTATCCTCATTTGAACTCTTCCCCCCAATGCCAGATGACTGATTACATTTTCCTCCTTGCTCTATAACATCACTCAGTATGAGAAGCCTTTTTACTCCTTAAAATACAAATCTTGTCAAAACAAGACCAAAGTAAATATTCCAGCAGCAAATGCTATCCTAACAGACTGGAAGGTTCCAAAAATGTGCTTATTTAGTCCCTTTTATGAGGATACAAATATGTAATATATAACTTAGATTTGAATATGACCAATCCGACAATATCATAAGGCAGAGAAATGAAGTGCGTCAGGTCTCAAGGCCAGTTTTGCTCCAGACTCACCTCATGGTAATGTGGAGGAATATCTTTGCTATTATGGCTGTAATACTTAGGATGAGCAGTGCTGTGAGACTATATATTGTCCACTCTGTAAAAGAGGAGAGGGAGAGAAGTTCTCAGTTCATTCATTCATTTACAGTTTTTAATGTAAGAATATTGCACAAAAGAAACCCATAGCCTTCTAATGCATTACTCAAAACTGTAATTTAGATGTGTCTTATACCTTTAAGTATTTTCTGTAAAGGCTGGCAGAAACTGTGTAACTCTCAGTCAGAACTGTATTTTCCCCATGCATGACTGATCCCTAAGAACTGAAAGCTGGGAAAATGAAAGCATATACCAGTAAAATTATTTAACTAGTCTGTAGGAAAGGAATCAAAACTCACAGAAAAATTTAAAAGCAGACTAAAGAACATACTAGACTATATGCTACCAGTAGTGACCCTGTGTTTGCAAGGAGATGGCCTAGTTTTATAACAGCTATTAGAGTGTCCACAGTGTGATCATGGCCCAGCTTCAACAATATATAAACATAGATATACCCAGGGTAGTTGAAAGACAGGAGAGGCCAAAAGTGGTATTCAGCAAGAATGCATTTCCACTCTTCAACTGTTTACAACTCAACAATTTCCTGAATGGTCTTGAAAGTGAGCTCTAGACAAGTAACAGTTCTCAGTAGCCTTTTCCCTACACCCATTAATTTGTTTCATCCTTGTAGAGCCCTCTTTATATTACTGCTGTATCTTTTTGTGAGTTCGTGTGACTGGGACACATCCTGCATTGAGACTCTTCCAGACTACAAAAGCTTACTCTTTTTTCAGTGCCTTTTGCCACCTCTATGGTAGGCACTGGTCACTGAAGCTGATTCTAGTAAGGAGACTGCTTTGACTCACATATTATCATGTGCTTTCATTCTCAAGGAGTCAGCATCTTCACAGTATTTCTAACTGATTTAGGCCAAGAAGTGAGTTTTGGAAAGTCATGAGAGCAGCACAGTTAGTGGTAATTAGACTAAATGAAAATTAATCTATTGGTAAAAGGCATAGTGGATCAGTGGTACAGGAGGCAAAGAAAATAGCGACTCTAGATTGTGCCTTGGCAACATGTTTTCTCTGTTTCCACATTTTCTTGTACTATTACCAGGCATGGAGCTACTGGGATGACTTGGGCTGGTTGTGATGACATAAAGTATCTTTGATGACCGGGCTGCACTGATGCTGAGATTTGCTTGTTCATTTATCTTCTCGGAAAAGGTCTGATTCACTAGAATCTTGTTTTGATGCACATTGTCCTTCACAGCTGGGAACACAAGAGTATGATTATTATAATTTCTTAAAAGGTATAGTTGGACTTTATTTTGTGCTTGTAAGCAGCTCTCTGGTTTACCTATAGCTCTCCAATAATCAAATTATGCCTGATACCAGAAAAAGCCTGTACTTCAACAAGCTGGGGTTCTCCACATTTTTCTGGAAGCTGCTGTTCATCATAACAGCAGGTACAACTGAAGGACTAAAATGTTTTCTTCTGAGTGTAACAGACTGTTGTGAAGAGCCAAGATTAACAAAGACGCAGGCAGACTACTGTCTTTTGTTTCAGCTTTGTCATTTTCCAATCTGATTTGACAGGTATGTATAAGATTTAATTTTTAAAAATTATATTTTGCTTATTTTATGACATACCTGGCTGGAGTGTTCCAAACAGTGAAACGTTAGTGAAGCTTTCACCCACTGAGCAGTGGCAGCAAGATAGAAGAAACACCCATAGATGTGGGAGTTAAAATATTTGCTCTTTTTTTGCCAATTCAGAAATCTTTTATGTGAATTAAATGCTTTAACAGCTCATTGAAAGGTAGAAACAGCAAAGTTGGTCTCTTACCTCTGTATCTGATAGCAAATCCCTGGGCTTGATTAATTTCATCTGAGAAAAAGTACAAAATGACAAAATCCAAAGAGATGTTAAATGTTTGGGGAGGCCGGTTCTTGCCATTAAAACGGGCTAGAACATGATAGGTATAGCCATCCAGCAGTTCCACCATATCTGTAGCATCTTTGATTTCAAAAAGGGCAAAGCTGAAGTGGATTTGAGATGCTCCTGGAACTTGTATGGTCCAGTAACAGACTTTGCCTGTGCCGTATGTGTCAGGAAAATCTGGGGAATAGATCACAGCTGTAGCAGAAGTGTAATTCCCTCCACAGGCACCAATAAGGGCTGTGAAAAGAAAAGGAGGAAGAGTTGTGTTAAGTGGTTTATAGCAAGTTTTGTCTGGTTTAATAAAAAAGCCCAAGTTAGTATAGATTGAGATTTTATTTGAGGCACCTCACTTGATCATGTGTCTACCCTCTGGTAAGATCAGTTCTGAAGGAGTCTTTCTGTGACATACTGTTTGTGATAGCTGAGTTAGTACCATTTGTGGGGAAGTAAGAGACAACCTCTACAGCATGAGTTAGTTGCCTGAGCAGGCATAATTTCTTGGAAGAATGATTTCACATTATTAATGGATGTGAATTTTATGCCAAAATGGAAAGCAGCTTTATTTTATACTGAATTTAGGTGTTTTGATGTTTAGTGTGCAACTGTTCTCACTGCATTTAAACCCTTTTCCCTAATTTGTCGAACATTTGAGGCCTCTCCTTTGGGAAAAACTGTGTCTGTTTCAATACTTACTGTCAAAAAGAATGACTCTGCCATCCCCACCGCAAGGCTGAGTATGGTCTCCAAAGCAAACACTGTTGCATTCCGTACTGGCTGCCTCCCCGTATCTCCAGTAGTCAGGATTATTTCCACAGAAACAAGCATAACCTGACTCCATGCCTGCAAACTTTGACAACAAAGAAGCAGAAGGAAGGAAAGGATAATATTTAAAAGAGTGACAGCAGGAGGCTGTATGAGCAAGAAAGCTGGCGGCAGAGTATGTGTGTTCTGGAGAAGTATGATTAGTCAAAGGTCCCACCACAAACTGGTTTTGTTTGAGCTGTCAGGATGCTCCTTGAGAAAGACCAAACAGGGGGCAATTAGGGCACCCTATCACTCATAACTGCAGGAAGCAAGCATATTTTGTCCTGGTATCCTGGCATTACTCAGTGGTCATTTGCCCAAACTGTTCTGGATGCAGAGAGAGGGCTAGGTCCCTGGAACAGGGAGACCTCAGACCTCCTAAAGGTTAAAAATACAAAAAGTGGGGAGGGGGCAGGGAAATATGATGAAGAGCTCTTGGCATATTGCTATCTTCTGTCTTTGAAAATATCTTGTAAATGTATTTCAAAGAAATCACCTTGAATTGCTGACTTCGACAGGAACTGATGCACGTTTGGATAGTAAGTTTATTGGAGGTCTCGCTGGTGCCAGTCAAAGGTGGTGGCTCTCCATGGTCCTTGTAACACCCTAGATTCCCCGGCACTGGCAAGGATAACAGACAACAGTCATTTTAAAGGTGTGCCTGGCAACACCCAAGACACAGACCACTTTATGCACTACCTGGCTACTAGGCAGCTCTCTGTATGTCCTTGTCTTCATTTTGCAGTATGGGAAATGTTACTCTATTCTAGATCCTTGTTATATTTTCCAAACATGTCCAGGGATAAATGACAAGTAGTGAAATAGCATCATATCTTCTTAGCAATACACCTGCAATACCCTGTAGTTGGTTTCTGTAAGCCACAGTGATACAGACAAGGTAAATACCTGTTTCATTTCTCCTGATAGAGACAATTACAAAAAACCCTGGCATTATTATGTCAGGTTCAGAGGTTTGGAGGTTTTAAAATACTACCACTCATGTCCTAACAATGTAAAATCAATACTGTGATTTCAGTCTGATCTTCAAAACAATGGCATTCTGGAAGTTTTCTAAACAGGATACTTGAGAAAGGAAACCTAAGCTCTTTTAGGATGGAGTTTATCAAGTTTTATGGGGGGGTCTATATACTTATATAGGAGAATTTCTTAATATTTAAAACTCAAATTCTAGTATGAATTTAAAATAATTTTTTTGGTGTGTAAAAGGAGACTGAAAATGAGCAATATTATTTTTTTAAAGAAACATCTAGTTATACTGTACAAATCAACATTTGAAGGCTCGCTGGTCAGCATGGCAGATCAGAAAGTGTTCCCCCTTCAATGCATAATTTGTCCTCTGGTTTTGTTTTATTCTTGCACTTTTCATCAAAGCACTGGAATTTAGACCTGATTACTAGAGAGAGGATATGGGGTACAATATAGTGCTGTGCTGATGGCATAAAATTATCCCTTGCCTACTTGTCGTATCTGCTTACATACTTGGAATTAATCTGTTACCAGCTCATTGGTCAGATAGTTTTTGTTTCTGTACCAGATTGACAAGGATTATTTTTTGTTCACGTCCACTACTCTGTACAACATGTGATGCAGTAAGAGGCTGTGTAAGAGTTTGACTTTCTCAGTCATTTGTTATTCCAGTATCCAGTAAACTCTGAACTCTCACTACTGTCCCACAGCACTGATTTAGGTTTTTGACTTACCAATAGGGTTTTGGGTTGGTTTGGGGGTTCTGTTTTGGTTTGTTTTTTTGGGGGGTCAGGGGTAGGGGGATGCTGCCTCCAATGGCTGTTAGCATGTGGTTCAGTTGCTTTGGGGCTCCTTTTGAGCTAGTCATCTCTTGTACAGGTGGCCCTTTTCTCTATCAGATAACCCATGTGTTAGTAAACTGCTTCTGTATTATTATACTATCACATAAATACCATAGGAATGCAATGATGCTTTTTGTACTGAGAAGTCTTTATAGTAGTCCTGAAAGTATCTCTTCACTGGATTCTGGAAGGCCCATTTCTGGGACTTCTGATTCATGTCCATGTGCAGCAGCTGTTGAAATAATGTTTTGAGTTCAGAATTTCTATTTGTCTGATCTTAACAAAGATGGGTTTGTCCTTATTCTTTTGGAATATTATATGCTAAGCTCATAAACTGATGTCAGTTTACTGTTAAAATCAGAATCATTCTGACATCTGGAACAGCTAACAGGTCTGTCTGAGTTTCTGCTCCCATACTTAGGCTGTGTTGCCTATGGCCGCTTCCTTATTTTGAGGAAGAGGGTTAGCACATCTCTTAGTGACCAGCAAATATACTGGTGTGTATATGATTATACTCTTAAGGAGCATGAGTATAGTATCATAAGGAAGAATTAATGAAGTTGGGGAGAAAATTCATATTGTATATTTTCATAATGTAAACTGAATTTATAATATATATTTTTTGAAGAATTAGATGTTGCTTGAAATATTGTTCATAAAACAGTTTTCTGAGAATGACACAATTTAAATTATAAATGCTTGCATGGAATTATGGCTTTGATATGCCCTGCACCAACATGTATATGAGTACTGCGACTTCAAGTTACAGCCTGATTCAACATACCTTTGGAAATCCCCATTTGCAGCCCCACCCCAGCTGAGTGCAGCTGGGCAGATAACTCTGAGCGCTCAGTTTTTCTGTACAGTGCATGATTTCATGACCCTGAGAAAGCTTCATTTTCCTTGGAGACCTGGGATTTCTTCAAATTCTACTTTTTTTTTAATGTAACTTTATTGGTGAGACCCTACAGCCTTTTCTCCAGAGGATTAGTACTTCAGTATGTTCCATGCTAAGCAACCAGACTGAGCAATTTAAAAGCTGCTTATATTGTGTAACTAAATGAAGCCTACTATTTGGGTACAGCTTCATTAGTCTCCCTGGTGTCCCAACAGTATTTTAACTTTCTTTTCTCTAGAAAACAAAATTAGTGTCCTGTGATTTGGAATAAACAGGAGAAGCATCAATCTAACTCAACAGTGAATAGTAAGTTCCATGTCACTGCCCAGCTCTTCAGATAACTTTGACATCAAACTTAACAAATGACATGAGCTGAAGGATATATGCTCACCTAAAAGAACTTCATAGTTCCACATCAAATATATAAATAAACACTCCCCTGAACTGGGGTAACACATGTGAAAGTTTACTCTTGTACATGCATATACATGATTTTGATACACCATCTCTTCCTATGGCTACTGATGGCTGGTCCTAAACCTGAGACACCACTTAATTGCTACTGAAGGGTAATCAAAATACACAGTATAAATGTTATAGCAGAGGGGAGATAACTTGTAACCTGAGTTTGAGAAAATCTAATTGGCAAGCAGTTTTTGCGTCAGATCCACAGTTGTGACAAATTACTGCTTTTCAACAATGTTTTTAGTATATTAGAATAATATGCTCTTCTTTCATACTATATTGAACTGGATCAGGATGTATGCCTAGGAAGCTGCCCAACATAAATCTAAACAAAGAACCGTGTACGTTTATGTACATGGAGCAGCTCTGCAGAAAAGGCCCTAGAGGTGCTGACAGACACTGAGCCAGGCAACAAAGGCCAACAAGCTGGTATTAAAATGAGCACAGCTAGAGATCAAGGGAAGTGAACTGTTCCTCTACTCAGCACTTGTTAGGGCCACATCAAGATTACTTTGTCCAGTTTCAGGCCCAACACTGCAAGAAAAACATGTAATTGTCTGAAGCGAATTCAGCAGAGAGCCAAGATGCTCAGAGGGCCGGAGGACTTGCCCTGTGAGAAGAGGCTGAGGTACTGGGGCTTGTTTAGCCTGCAGAAGAGGAGGCTCCGGGCACTCCCTAGCAGCTCTGCAATGCCTGCATGGAGGTTGTCGCAACAGTGGAGCCAGGGTCTTCACAGTGACGCGTTTTGGACAAGAAGTAATGAGCTTAAGTTGAAACATGAGATGTTCAGACTGGATACAAGGAAAATCATTTCACCATGCTGGCAGTCAAGCATGGGAACAAGGGCCCAGAGAGGGAGTGTATTCTGCATCCCTGGAGGTTCTCATGGCCTGACGCGATAAACTTGGTCTAATCTGACAAACTGAGTAACTTGGTCTGATCTCAGAGCTGGCCCTACTTTGCGCAAGCAAAGATGACGGCCTGAGGTCCCTTCCAACCTGGGGTATCCTACAACCCTGTGTGTGTGTGTGTGTGTGTGTGTGTGTGTGTGTGTGTGTGTGTGTGTGTATGTATATGTATGTAGAGCAATGAAGAATCAAAAGTGCTTCTAGATAGGTAATGTCTGTTTAGTTACTCTGAGCCTTAAAAATTTTCAACATAATCTTTTGCCTTAATTTGTTCTAGCTACTAAGGAAACTTTGCAAAACTGAAATGGTCAATATTCTGCAATTACTGTTGATGCTGATCAGTGATGTCTCACCATTACACTGTCTTCATCCGTTTGTTCTCTTGTGCTTAAAATGTCACCTCTTTTATGCAATCATGCTGTTTTTCTTTTAAGCAGCATATGACATAATGATGTCTTGGCAAACACCAGAGCTTCTGCGTTTTACACATTAAGGCACACATATTAAAACATGGAATTCACCCTTTTGAGCTCCAAACCATATTCCAGCTATGCTTATCCATGTGTCTTTCAAAAACCTCGTAGCTTTTTGCAATAGTAGGTCTGGTCTGCACCAGTATACTGTCTCAAATTGTTCAAGCTACTCCCCTCGTTCTTGTGTTAAAATTTGGACAAGTCAATCTTGGAGTGATCGATACAGCTCTGTATAACTTATCTGGCTCTGCTATTTAATACTTCATCAATATTTCAGTCAACTTCACTAGATGACATATATGCACACAGGAAATCTGTTGTTTATGGTAAGAAACTCATGTGAGCCACAAACATGGAGATGCAATTAAGTAAGACTGCAAGCCTTTTACGTTTTGGGAGCGTAAGTTACTTCCTTTGAATTTCAACCTAACCTCATTAACAAAGAAAGAGATAAAAAGAAAAAAAAAAAAGAAGTCAGGAATAGCTGCAACACTGAACAAACCATCTAAAGCATTTGGTTCCGAATTCTCCATGTGAGATGCACGTGTTCTCTCAGGACTCAGTGTTGCCTTTTTGCCTTTTGTTTATGTCCATTCCAGGCTGCTTAGCAAGACAAGCCATTAAGAGAAGGAGAGGAAGAAAAAGGAAGACTAAGCTCCTACTGAGGTAACTACCACTGTCTTCTGTAATTATGCCCATCCATCCTCGTCTAACATTGCTAAATTCTGTATAGCATGTTTACACATGCAGAATGCCAGAACACATTTCTGAATTAAGCGTTACGTCTTAGTGAATGAGACACATGATATAATCATGTGAAATCATCATCATAATGAAAAATTCTTAACTGTAGATCCTTAATTATTGTAACAGTGAATCACTGCATGCAAATCTCTCTAGGCAATCAAGATGTTTCATGTTGTTGGCATTGTAGTGGTGTATGTGGTTATAGTTTATAACTAAATTATGCTCCAGATACTTTTCCAGTAGTAAATATAATTATGGAAAATAAGCTTATGTAAGACAATTTTTACTTCTAAAAAATAGCGTTTCTTTACACAAGTGCTTTCTGTTCACAGAACTCAGTTTTGTATTATGCACTTCACAAGTTGTTTTTGATGGTCCTATGATTTAGCATCATGCTTACTGAAAACAGAAAATCTGGTAAAAAATGAAAGGTTTGTGTTTTTTTTGGGGGGTATTATTATTTTTTTTTACTTGCACAGCTTCATACACCATGAGGTTTGTATTAAGACTTGGATGGGCTTGCAATGTACAGTTTGTTCTAAATTGCTGCAATTCCTTTTTCTAGTATCCAGTTTCAGTGCAATGCTTGAAGCAGCTGCTACTGGCCAAAGGGACATTTTTTAAATGTAAGTCTGGATTATCTGTGCAAGTAACTGTCCAACTTTAAATCCTCTGCTCCCCACCACAGAGAAAATGAGTGAGGCTGCTTTTAAAAGGATCCTTTGTGTAGAACAAATGGAGGGGAGAGAATTTGCCTTTCAGCTTTTTTACTGGTGCCATATCCAGAGAATTTGTTAACATCTGTGGTCTTTAAAGAAAATGCAAATTCTTCCACTTTAGACCAAGATAAATTTCTCAATTAGGAGGGTCATGTTTCCTAAATAGGATCTGGTATATCAGAAAAATAAGAGTAAGATGTCCTCTGAACAATGAGAATTGGAGTGTTGAATGATTTTGTGTTATTTAAATCAGACTCCTTCATCTGTATTTAAGTCTAGGTAAGTCACGTGACTTAAGATCACACATATGTATTTGTTTGCCTCGCTTGGAGAAGTGAATCACTCACATTCATAAAAAAACAAACTGTGGACAAAGTAAAAAAAAATCTTTTTAGATCCATTTTTCTTTGTTTGGTTTTGTTTACTTCAAGTAAGAAATATACTTCTTCCAATTGAAAGTATCCCTCCATAAGGACAACTGCTGATGCTTAACAGCATACACATGTTATCCATTAGAGAGTACTTGCACAGAAGTTAGGAAAGCAACTAAAGGCAAAAACTGTTAGACTTAATAAAATGTGTAGTTATGGTTGCTTGTTAACATGCAAATCTGGAATATATTTTTAATATTTAGGCATATTTTAAATAATGTGATTCTTAAGAGTTTATCCTGGAGCATTCAGGAAATTTTGGAACATATTGTCACGAATCATAGAATCACAAAATGGCTTAGGTTGGAGAGACCCTAAAGCTCATGCAGTTCCAACTCCCTGCCACAGGCAGGGACCCCTTCCACTGGAGCAGCTTGCTCCAAGCCCCATCCAACCTGGTCTTGAGCACTGCCAGGGATGGGGCAGCCACAGCTTCTCTGGGCACCCTGTGCCAGTGCCTCAACACCCTCACAGGGAAGAGCTTCTGCCTAAGAGCTCATCTCGGTCTCCCCTCTGGCAAGTTAAAGCCGTTCCCCCTTGTGCTGTCCTTACAGGCCCTACTCCAAAGCCCTTCTCTAGGTTTCCTGTAGCCCCTTCAGGCACTGGAACCTGCTGTAAGGTCTCCCCAGACCCTTCTCTCCTCCAGGCTGAACAAGCCCAGCTCTCTCAGCCTGTCTCCATGAAAGAAGTTCACCAGCTCCCAGAGCATCATGACAAAACCTCCACATTTTGGGCAAGTAAATAATGTAATACATTAAAAATATTAAATACCAGAAAGAAGCTTCAGATGAGTAGCCTGTGAATGACGTGTCAAAATACCCAAGTCCAGTTTGTGGTTTCACATCAATGCTAAATACATGCACTAGCAAGCAATAGAATTCTAGACCAGAGCTCCCATATACCAAACAAATAGCAATCTTTTCACTATGTCCTCTCACACTGTATTTATTTCTTCCAAGCAATTCTGTGTGTTATGTACATTAAACTAATGCCATAATTTTACAAGCCAACTGCAAATGATGGACACATGTAACTTGTAAAAAAATTAATTCATAATTTCCTATTCATTTTTGTCCTCTAGATTTTAATAAATTAATGACATATTTTTATGGATTAAAATACTAGCAGTACTTCTTAAGTTTTGAGTAATTTTCTGTCTGGTATTATTTGAAACTAATATCATCCAGTAATTCTGATATGAGAACAAAAGGATAGCAATGGAGGAACACTTCAGTAAGTTTGTCCAGAGACCCATTGAAAATATTTCCTAGTCTGCAAATGAAAATAAGCTGACTGGCCTTATCCTAGTTTCTGTTTGAAAATCAGTACCCACTGTGGTGTAACTGCCAATATCCGTTAAACAGAGATGCAGGCCTAAGAAAAAATGTCATGGTGCTCTTACTTCGGCAGGATGGAATTTCACAGTATTTCCAATATATTCCATCCTCATGTTCTGCAATGTAGCACCATGGGCTCACATCTCCATCAGGGTTCCTGAAAGAGAATAACAGTGTGTGAGTGAAAAGTCATCAAGTATTTTCAAAAAACCCACATAAAAATCAATTTTATTAAGCTTTGGTGTCACCACTATTCTTGCTCTAACAATATTTAACTCGTTGGACTGACTTACCAAGAAAAATGCAAAAATGGTCAGGAAGTTCGGATCACTGTTTATTATAGTACACAACAAGCTAGTAGCATCTGAAACTTAACTTACTTTTTCTCTAAGTATAAAAGGTGCAGAGCTATTTCTGGCCAGTACTGAGGAAGATCATGTGTACAAGTTCTTTAGACTCCTAAACCTGATTTCTGCCTTGGTACAAAACAGTCCAGACTCCAACTTTCTGTATGTATGATGACAAAAATATTTATCCAATCAAGTCTTCTGGGAAAGACTCAGGTCTTGTCTTTTCAGTAAAGCTGAGTAAATTCGTTCCAGTGATCTGATATATTGATGGATAATTCCTTATGCGTCCATGATTATTCTTTGCTTGATTATTTTGTGTAGCGTCATTGACAAGTGCATACCTAATTAGTCATTAGGTTATTGAAAGTTTCTTTGTATGTACGATTTGAAAAACTATTTGTATTAAAAAGATCCATTTAAGAAATTAACTTGTTATTTTGGACAGTCAGGTTGAAATAAGACCTCTTCTTGTTAACTAGGGCCAACTACAATCTTTTTATCATGTAGTTTGGCATGAACTCTATGAAGAGACCCCCCCCTACACTGAAGTGTCAGTTCAGCTGCATCTTGTCATTTGGGCACATTAACAAGTCTTTGTGGGAGATCCGATTTTTGAACTGCTAGGAACAGTTTTTTTGTCAAATAACAGAATGCTGAAGACAACTGCTAAGTTAAGTTCAATTTAGCTGATTAAAATGCTGCTGCTAGGCTTTCAACAGACTAGTGGACAAAGAAGACTAGTGTGTTAGGAATTTAGGTGTAATGGCAGAGCTTCCAGTGGCTAAAGAAAGTAGAAAACTAGTATCAAGGAAAGCTTGTACTCGGAAATAACACAATTTTCTTTGGTTTCACACTTACAGGAAATTTTACATTTACACTTGCATGACAGAAATCAGATGTCTGTAACTGAATCATGGTAATGGCACTCTACATATAAATGCCTTAAAATGCAAGGAAATTGCAAAGAAATGTGATGAATGTCTTTGGAAATCTTTGCCTTGAACCTCAAAAGTGCACACAAACAGAAAACAATCGAGTGTCTTTCAAAATCTCCAAAAACTTCAGTCCACATAATTCTGTTATGGCTAAAATTAAGTTTAGTGGAACATTATGAGGAATTTCTATCTTAACAGGGTGTCTTGCAGTAAACAAAGTATTCTAAGTAAGGACCACCCATGCAGAGATAACATGCTTCTGATTAGTGCTTTAAGTGTAGAATTAGATTATTCAAATTTTGTCCTTAAAATTGAGCCTCAAAGGATCATAATATGCCCTAAAAAAGCCTTGTGAGAAGGGAAGATCACCTTGTCCATTGTCACAAAACAAATGAGTGGCGAGAAACAGCTAAAACAGCAGCATCTTCACCCATGAAGCCCTGACAAGATTTGCATGCTAAAGATACGCTTTGACACTCTTAAAGAAACAGTGACTTTGCAAGCTTTTTTTTTTTCCTTTTCCAACAGAATGTGAAGTTAAAAAGCACTTATTCATTAGGATCACCATTTCATACACCTGTGAGAATACTCCCAGGCCAAGTGATATAACAGAGAAGGAAATGGCTAACCTTCCAGTCAAACTTCACTTCAAAGGGGATAACCTAACACCCAGTAGATTGAGGTTAAAAAGCTGTATCTGGTAACCAGATAATTTCTCAGGCTTACATACCAGGTTATAGGCTTCTTGCTCCTCATTTGCTGAGTAAAGTGAAACTCTAGTGAAACTTGAATACCTGGATAAACATCTAGGATATTGCCACACAGCAACAATCAAAATTACCTTATTTTTGTTTGTATCAGAGTTAATTCAGTGGCCACTCGCCTTTCTATAGCTCCATATTATTATGTGTACTGAGAGACACATCTCTGCATGTCATGAAAATTATTATGCACTTGCTGGTGTTGGGCTGACTGAAGCTGTGAAGTTGGTGTAAAATGTTTTTGATGGGAACAGTCTTTTCAGTGCTCACATGCCAATCAGCTACCAGACTGCTTGATGGGTTTATATGTTTCCAGGCCATTTTCTCAAGAGAATGGACAACTTCTATAGTGTTTCTTTAGTAGGTGGTGTAGTTTCTGCTCCTCCAAGATGCTGAACTGATTCAAAAAAAGTATCAATTCTGAAGTTGGCAATAATGCTTTCTCCTTCTATGGCTGAAAACAGAGTCACTGGTGCAACACATTGAACAGTGCTATTCTGAAGCACTGATGTAGCCACTGGAAAAGATCCCAAGTCTTTTTCTTCCCTGCCCTTCACCAATGTTCCCCAATCAGAAATACCTTGCTGAGCCACCAAATACTCTGGAAACACAACTGACTCCTTTCATCAGTATGCTCATCTGTGTGCTGCATGTCACAAGACCCCTTCTTTGTGCTTTCTTACTCTTCATTAACTGTCTGGTTCTGTCTCTGTCATATTTTCTTGTCTGTCTGTTTGTGATTAAATATGGTAAAGTTTAAGGTGTCAACTGTAAAGGCTCTACCCTAGAAAGCCTATAGCCTACCAAGTAGAAGTATCTTCCAGAAGAATTGAGGTGTGGTTTGAACCTTCTCACGGAGGAGACATTGCTATGGCCCAGGTAACTCAGTTCTTAATTGCATGGGTTGAACATCTCTGTCCCCGTTACACAGAGACACCACTCAATTTTATAAGCATTGTAGATGAGCTGATGATTATCACTGTTTAAGAAATGTATCTATGAGGTTATTCCCTACCTACTTCCATAGGAAGTATAAACGGGTATAAAAACTTAGCTGGTCAATCCTGCAAAGATCAAACTGCGTGTAATTTCCTGATGCGCAACATCAGGGAGTTAAATGTTGCAGGCTGAAAAGAGTCTGCAGAGCCTAAACATCTCTGAACTTGGTTCTTATTTGGCTCCTAAATTCTGGAGTTCTTATTTAAGTTTCGCTCCAAGTTCTACCCACAGAACTATCCCTCTTTAGAAGGCAAGGAAATGAAAGGGGATCTGCCATGGTTTAAGCTGATGGTGTAACCACTGACAGTTGAGCTTCCGAATTCAAGTAACAACTCTAAGTCACTGAAAAGCTTATGCTGAGAACTTAGCAAAAAACTCAGAAACAGAACAGAGAACAGAACTAGGCTTGTGGGTGAGGACAAAAACCATAACGTTGCAGTCTGCCATAGACATTCACTAGTGCTTCTATACTTGTGACCTGGATAATTTATCTCCACCTTTTCATTTAAGTAACCTCTAGTCTTTCTCCATGATGCCAAATATAGGTTGGATATATGATACGGACTTTGTGTGACAGCTGGGTTGATAAAGTTATTCTACTAATGGCGCTTGAAGATTCAGGGTACTGATTACAGGATAAACCAAACCCTGTTAGACATCCATGGTTCTGACATTCTTCACTGCGTGACAGGAAATCTGATTTTTTGTCAACTGTTTAAAAGTTAATACTGGGTAATCAGGCAATGTTAGTAGCAGAGATACTTCTTACCTGCAGTAGTTATGCTCTCCAAGCCCTCCCTCCCCATTGGGATATTTCAGAGTATTATAAGGATGCTCAAAGGTTTCATTCCAAAAAAGACAAGGTTTCCCTGCATATTGGGAGGTCTGGTTCTGAGTGCCACGATAGTCAGCCCCATTTGCTGTATAACATTCTGGGAAGAAATGGAAATGGAGAAAGAGAATGAATGTATGTAGGTTTAGTCTTGGTTGTTCTTCCCTCACCCTCCACCCCCATCCCAAAACACTGTGTTTCCTTTCACTAACATATTTCCTGCATTGTTTAGGCAACTAAAGGTGCTGTCTGGGGTGTAAGTTTTCTCTCAAACATCTATTGAAGAGATTATGATTTCATTACTTTACTAAACCATATATAAGGCAAGCCTGAAGAGTGGTTAATACAATTAACATGCACTTTCTGAATGCACTTTCACAATTAACATGCACTTTACTAAACAATGTATAAGACAGGTCTGAAGAGTGGTTAATACAATTAACATACACTTTCTGAATAAGCATACTGTATTTTTACTGTTTTCCCTGTGTTTTATTCATCAGGTTGAATCTGTAACTTGTTAATTTTCCAGGAATGAAATTAGATGATGCTGTAGGTCTGCCACATATCAGCACACTGCCCAAAATCCCGTGCCATTGTAAGTTGAGAATATCTACAATTTTATAAAGTGAAAAAAATTGTAGGCATGAATGTTGCAAACGTTTACATCCCAATTTAGAAAAATTCTTAGGTGTTTTTTCCTCTGGTCTGAATTTCTTTAGAAAAGGACCTCTTTCGGCAGAGTACAATCATGATACTGTTGTTTGCTACTAATGTATTTACACTTTCAGATCAAATTTATAGGTCAGTATTCTTCTGCCTCACCCATATTTTCTCCCATTTATCTTTGTTTTCCTAATACTCAGCAAGTTAGAAACCAAAGCAGAGAATGATTTCTCTAGTCATTAAATGTACCATCCCCTTCTCAACAGAAATACAAATCTCATGCTGCCTGGCTTTGCTGTGTCTTATTATTGATGTCTTCTGATCAAATAAGTATTCATATGCATGAACAATTTTAGCTTTAGTAAAAATGAAAAACATTTGTTACTAAATTGTGCACTGTGAGGGTGACAGAGCAGGGGAACAGTTTGCCCAGAAACGCAAGCGTTGGAATCTCTATGTTCAAATGCCATCTGGACATGGTCCTGGATCGCCTGCTTGAGGTGACTGTGCTTGAGCATAAGTCATCTAAACGATGAGCTCCAGAGATCACCTCCAACCTCAACTGTTCTGTGATCACCTTCCAGAAATAATCATTAAAATGTATCATAAATAGGTCTATCCTTGTTTATACTTAATACTTGGTAACATCTATCATCAATGCATTTATTTAAAAGTAGTATTAAAAAACAACAGTCCATGACAGAATTAAAACTGTTGCATGACTCTGCTGTACGCATTACAAGCAGTACAAAGAGTACTGAGCAACATTACTGGGAAAAGTCACTTTCTCCTAACTGCAGAACCTTGTTTTACCTGCTGGTATTCTCTGCGGAGACCATGCAACCACTGCAGAGATGTTCTACTGCCCCAGGGAAAGGGAGCGTGCTTTTAAGTGGAGGCTGCTGATCTCAGTGTCCCCTACAAGATACCTTACAAACAAGGCTAGAAAGACCTGTATGGATGCAATAGAAAGAGGTAAAAAAAAAACCCCACTCTCAGCTTAATTCTGATATTAGCAATACACTTTTTTTGTATTTAGAAATACTGTGAGAGACGGGAAAACATTATTAAAACAATGCCTTTGAAATAATTTTAGTCTGCACACACAAATATCAGAATGGTGCAATTTTAATGATTATTTCACTGTTTTATTACACAGCAGATGAAAGCTGATGTTTTTGTGCCTTCACTGCACATTTTCATGCCTAGGCAAGTTAGGATTCTATTAAATGGAATTTTGTTGCTGAAGGCAGCAACAAAGGTGTCTGCCTTGCCATTAACGTATACTGCTATCATCTATGGATAGAAAGCCGTCTAATTTAACAAAACCAAGTTTCAAGTCAATACTCTTCCCTACTGTAATTTACCTGACTGCCTTAGCCATGCAGGTGAGCTACATACATTTACCTGAAAATGCAAATCTGAGTTTCCAGTATTGAGGCCACCACAGATATTTGGATAAACATAGGAAAAAAAACCCACCCCACTTAAAAATCATCACAGTGCTGCAGCTTTCTTAAATACCTCTTTTTACTTTGCAGTTAATTAAGTTTTTCTATGTCAGCTGAAAAATACAAATTGATGAATTTGGCATAGAAGAGAGGAAAACATTATCAAACTGGACAAACAAAACAACATACATTATAAAGAAGCAATTATGAGAAGTGATAAGCATATCCATAAAAGACATCTACTTCAGCTTAGTGCTGTTGCTTTTTTTGCTTCTCATTTCTAATGAACAGCAATATGTACTAACATCTACTTAGAAATGCAAGGAATGCTACAATACCTGAAGGTAATCTGGCACACAGACTAAACTGAAGTTAACATCAGTCCATTTTAGGATCTGCTAAGACTGGCCCATGTTCTAACTTGCAGCAGCAACTGACTTTCATTTTCATGTCAGCTGATTTTTTTTTGTCCTATTTTTTAAAATAGATTTTCTTCAAACTTCATTGCACTACACTAGGACTTCGAGGACACTGCACAAAAGAAAGAGTTAGAGCTCTTCATTCCTCTTAGCTGTAGGTTTTGTTTGCAAGACAACAGGTAGCTGTAACAGTGCCTCCTGTACTTTTTGTACATTTTATTTTGTACTACCAAGAGATTTAGGAGCAATGCATCTAGATGTTAGCATCTAGATGTGAAAGGAAGAGGCAGTAAGATACAACGTAAAACCAATGATTATCCCAGAAAAACTGAAATGGAAACTTACTTTTGGAATTTAGCAGCTGTTATCATACAAAATACACACCTTTCTGTGTTACAGGGAATTTGCTAGGAAATTTTCATTTTGTTAATTATTAATGAAAATTTTGCCATAGCATGGAAGTGCATTCTTTTCAAGCAGCTACTGGCATTTAAAAATCAGGTCCTTTGTTCTACACTCTTCTACCTTAAACAATCAGCTTTGAGATCTGCTGAGATATCCTTTGTACAGTTTTCTATAAAATTCCTAGCAACATGAAAACAGATCTCTCAGCATATTCAGTATCTTGGCAGTAAACATCTGAATTCTATTTATCACATAGTGATTTTGCCATATTTTGTTGCACAACAGCCAAGACGCTACCTTAATGATCTCACTGTGAAATTAATACTCCCAGCGTGTTAAAGGCGCAAAATGAATGTTTTGTCTGCAGACAGACCACTGTCCTCTCCACTTCTAATCCACAGGCTGCACTTTCAAGACAAAAGTCCTAAGTGATTTTGGAGATCAGAACCTCCATCTTTCTTTTCATCTTGCACCATTGGTGCAATAATCCTGTGGGGAAAAAAAAGAGCTTAAAACAAAGGTCAGCCAGATTTGTCTGCACAAAACTGATTCCGAAAAGTTCATCTAACTAAAACAGTCAGAAAAGAGTGAACACTACTGGTAAAACTCAGGCTTGCTTACTCAAATTACCTGATTTCTCTTTGGTAGATTATGATCATGTAGAAAGGAGAAAAAAAACAACAATCAACCAACCAGTCAACAACAATCACATTTATTTTACTGTTCTGGCACCCACTGGATCTGACTGCCTTGCATTAGCTGATACTTTCATGTTACTTTAGGCTATGAAGCCCTTTGCTGGGAATCTAACTAACATCCGCACAGTGACTCAAAGAAATCAGTTATCAGTTGTACGAATTTCTGTTTTGTAAGACTGTGGTACTATGACAGAGCTTGCACTATATCCAAGTCCTTTCCCAGTGGCAAAGACAGCAAGGGAAGAAGAACAGGCACTTTGTGGAGACCAAAACTGTCAGCTTTCTAGAAGGCATGAGAAAGCCGCTATGCTTAATAGATTTGTCACATGGTTTCTGTTCATGTACCCAAAACTGAGTTTAAACTACCCTGTCAAGTGTAAACCTGGATTAAATCACCAAGGTTCTAGGTAGGACATGAAGGAAGCTATGACCATTCAACTCTTTAAGTGTTCAACCTCCTCAGTTTTCTAACATCTTAGTCAGCTGGGTTTCAAATATAGTCTGAAGTAGAGGCTTGTGTCAAATCCATTATTAAAATTGATGTCTGTGATGATTTTGTTGTATTAACTGTCTAACGACCCTGCTGCTTCTATGGTTTTGTTGGGATATCTGCAAACAGGATTAGTCAGACAACCACTGCAGTGGTTATAGTCATGGGAAGTTGGAAGGTTCCAACAGGTCCTGTTCTGAATAATGCCTATGAGCTTTAGTGAGAAAACATGGACAGCAGTGTGTTGCGGGGGCTGCTTCTGCTTTCAACATATCAGGTGCTATGGTTGACAGAAAAATAACTCTTTTTAAATAAATACTGAGACTAGAAAAGTATGTATTGAGTGGCAACTACCAGAAAGAAAAAGCAAAAAAAAATGGCTGGGGATGGTTGTCCGTTATGAGTGAATGTTCAGTGTGTGATACAGGTTCACAATTAGGTTTATTAGAGCCAGATCAACATTTGGAAGATCAAACAGCAGCTGTAGTAGAAATTTTTTCCATCTGTCTCAGTTCCTTCTTCAATGTAGGGACCTTACAATGATCACTTACGCCTTTGTTACTTTGGGACCTTATGGCTGCCTGCACTCCACATGTGCCACTCTAGGCGCCACTTTAGGATCACTTGAAAAATTAAGGTAGTGCAGAATGTAATAGTCTGACTTTTTTTACTGAATGAAGCACTGATGATAAAACACTGACATTTCAGAGTCTCCAATGATTTTCTAAGATGTTTGAGTTAAGTTCTGGAAGCTACTCAGAGTGCTGACTAGTGGCCAGAGAAACTGAAGGCTGACAACAATTATCAAACAGAAACTAGCCTATCTGGGCCAGAAATTATCCTGCCAGCTACTGGCCAACAAGAAGCAGATAAACGAAAGGTAAATGAAAGTGGCTCTTTAAATCTTGGGTTTCATTACAGTGGTGTGATAGCCAGAACATTAAAAGTTCTGTAAGGCAAAAAAGAAAGATTCCTTGAATTTACACGTTATAGCTGCCTACTAAACAAGTTCTTACTTGTTTTCCTTACAGCCATTCAGAAGAGTAAGAAAAATGCTTAAGCAGAATGTAAGAACATGGAATCAAAGGTGCAGGTCTGATAATGACTCCGTATCAGCTGCTCAATGCACACAAGGCATGGTAAGAAGCCTTTTAAGTCATTTCCATTCTGCCTAAACTTTTCTAGTTCATGCTAGAGCTTGCAATTTAAGCACTCCTCCTTAAATGAAAGCACTGTATGTAGGTGCAGATGGCAACAGTTACAGGCACTAACCAGATGCTGTAGTCTCTAATTTGATTGAAAGGCTATAATTAGACAGCAAAAACACTTCAATGAGAGAGTAACGCACAGAGGAAAGGACAGAAACCACTTAACTGATGCCAAGATACCCCACCAGTACAGAGGCAGGGGCCCACGGATGGAGGGGCAGAACACCAAATTACCTTCTTCAGATGTGAACGGTTTTGTTTCCCTATGGATGCGAATAGGGATTCTATTATCATAGGTTGCCACAGTTCTTCATGTGGGAACACTGATTAAAACCAGAAGAAGCTTCAGGAGATCAAAAAGACAAATACAGCTTCTGTGGTCATTATTAAAAATATTTTTAGCAGTGCAATGGTTTTCTTTGAAGATGCAGTTTTATCGATTGAACCAAAAGTTCATTTGCCTACTGTCATATGACTGGTCAAAAAAAAAATTCATCTCATTCTATACTGTGTTATGGTGCAAAATAAATGCTTTTGTGAAACGTAAGGCTGCTTGAGACTCATGCATGGGGAAAATTAGTGTAGTGTTTTTGCATTTCAATATGTTACTGTTCTAATTAATATGAATATAACAAAACCCCTTATTAAAACTATCAGGCCTATACTGTAGCAACACAACACAATTGACACAAGCTCAAGAAAAAAACCTCAGGAAAGAATGATCTTTGTTTAAAATTACAGTTTCCAAAATCACTAGAAAATAACTCCCCATTTGGTAAACTGGCCAGCTAAGCTCTGATGTGCTGCTATGACAGTGCTTAGTTAGCTGATCATTTATTCTTTGCAACATAGAGGTACTCTGTACATAGTTTAAAAATCATCTCCCTCTCATTTCTACATATCCACACACAAACACACACAGAGACACACATACAATTTTTAAAGTCCTCAAACAGAACTGCTTTTGCTGGTCAGAATTAGCAGCTTATATAGCATTGGCCTGAACCAGGGAGTAGCCACAGTGAACACTCACCTGACATTTGATCAAACCTTGACTAACACTCTCTGTCCTGGAAGAATATACATTCATGGAAACATACAGACATGGCGCTCCATACTTGTGCTCCCTGGCAGTGTATGAGTCGTTATATATGTGAATTTGCTATACTTGTAAAATTTTGGTTGCTAACCTTCAATCCAACCACTTTTTCATCACTTCTCCTTTTCTGTTTGTTTTGGTGGCTTTGGGGTTTGCTTTTTTTTTTTCCTCTTTATGGAATATGTTTGAAGCAGGTGAATTAGGATATAGCATGAGAGGCAGTTACCCTTAATTCTAATGCTTATAAGTATGTATTTTGTACATTTTTTCTCTTTAGTTGTAGAATACAAATATGCTATATCAGCAACAGCTTTGCAGCTGCTGCCTAGTCCTCAGCTGCAAGATGCAAACACGCTTGTTTTATGATTCTTTATCACTGGAAGTAAGAATGCATGATGTGGCCCCATAAGAATTTCTGTTCCTTAATACACTCATTTGTTTATTTTTCTGTGAAGTTTTAAAACTGTTGTTCCATTGTCAAGCATGGCAGACTGAATCCCTTTGGAAATTTTATCAGGATGGGCCATAGCCACTGAGCGGATGGAGAGAGTGGTCAACTGCACAACAATTATAGTGTGATATGACAAAGAATGCAAATTTTGCAGCTGGCAGCATGTAATCCCTGCCTCCCTCCTGCTTTTTTGGCTCCATCCTGCCTAAATCCATTCACATAACTCTGGATTTTGAGTTATGCACTATGCATGTAGAAGCATGATATGCTGAAGTGTCTGACTGTTTCATTTTCTATCTGTCTGGTTTGAAATGCTTTTTTGATTATTTCCATGACAATTGCTTCCATCTCTTTGACTTTGTAATACAAAACTCACCAAATTTAGACAGTCTTTTCATGTTAGGCAAGCTATTCTCCCGTCTCTTATTTCTGATTCACTTGAGAAATGTGGTATGACTGAAGTCTGAATGCTGCAAATGTCAGAGTTTGGATCAATAGAAACTGTTAGACATCACACAGTGAAGCAGAAACATTCTGTGAAAAGCAGCACAGTACTACGTGCAAAAACGATTGTTAACTCACTCTGATTTCTGACAATTTGAGTAATTTTTCATAGGGCAGTTCCAGAAGTTAAAGTTTCACTCCTGTCTTAGTAAATGATGGTGTGACACAGCCTGCATTCTGAATGCATTTTACAATGTTAAGATGTTTTATTAAACTGAGGAATAGGGATTAAAAATATACTATATGACAAACTGCCTTACAAAAGAAATATCTGTGTTTGTCATATCAGAATTCTGCTAGCTGAAAGTACAACCTAACCCAGCTGATCCCAGTTTGGTCCTGTGGACTGACAAGAAGATGATCCTGGGGTATGGTCTTTGCACGTTAGCAGCTCTGCAGATTTGTATATGCCATATGAATTACAGGTCCTTGCTGAAGTGTAGATTTGCACTGTTTCAGGTTCTTTAGCACAAGACACAGAGGGGGCAGTGCTTTCTTTATCCATTCTCCTTTAGTACCCCTTCACTCAAAGGCAATACTCCTCTCAGTAGTTTTCCCACCTCCTCCTGCCATAGCTGCTTGTGCTCAGGCATCTCTGTCCACTTGAGTGGCTGCCAGTTCATGCAGTTAGTTGTTGGCTAGAGGGGGGAAGTGCAGGTGTGTAAACAGGTATGATCCTCTTAATAGCCTATGAACCCAACATTCACACTAGGATCTATCCTCCACTTGCTGTCATGCAGGCTGCTGTGAGGTACATGGTCACAGATGGAGTGTTCTGTCCACAGTTCTGCTCAGAAACCTTAAAAGAAGTCATTCTTCAACTTAAGCAAGGGAAGAAGTACCTACTCTGTGCACCAAACATGTCCTAATGGTACTGGGAACAGATCATTCTAGACATGCTTTAGGTATGTCCCTATCTAGGCATGCTTTAGATATGTCCCTATCTAGGCGGCTCTCTAGACTCTTATCTGAAAAGACAATCATGTTTTACTCACTTCAGGTAACTTATGAGAAGTTGTAAATTTTACCTTCTGAGTTCCCTGATAAAATGCTTCCTTCCTTCCCTCTCTCCCTCCCCACCCCACCCCCAATAAAGTTTATGTAAGTATTTTCCAAATTTAATTAAATGTATCTACAAAACCTTGAGCAAGTACCTGTTTGTGGTGAGAGCTAATTCTACATTATAAATAATAACGATTAGAATACACAAAATGTATCCAGGTGTACCACGCATCTGATGGCTCTGACGCTGCGATGAACTGAAACAGCCACTTCAGAACTCATTAAGCAGTTTATCAGAGTGTAAAGCAACTTTTATCAGAGTGGAGCTGTGATACTTGAACTCATCACTAACAACTGAGAACAAAAGGCTGCAGAGGCATCTTAAGTGAAGAATCACACGAACAGGTAGCAAAGCTTAAGGCTTCCCAGATTCCTTGGCTGAACAAGAACCGCAACGGTCAGAGGAGTCCGTTCGTGACAGGCGCTGGGGCAGCCACCCCGAGTTCTCGTTCCGCAGAGCCGGTTCTGCCCTGCTGCCACTGTTACTTCCTTTCCCAGTGAGTGTACCCACGCCCCGCAGTCCCTGCTCCTTGCAGATGCCTCCGTTCTGCAGACCTAGCTACGAAACCACTTTTACAGAGATACGTGCTGCTCTTCTCCCTTTAACCTCACGCCTCCACAGTCTCTCGAGCTCCCAGCTCAGCGAGCAGAAGGAGATCCTCAGATACCCCACACGCTGCAAACCCCGCGCGAAAATCCCCCCTGCGCGTCTGTGCGAGCAGCTTCTAGCCGTGCTCCGCAGTGGCGAGCAGGAAGGGCCGTCGTCGCGACCTCGAAGAGGTATTGGTGGGCGGCAGAGCCCTTTGCCGGAGGCTGCGTGCCAGTGCAGTCTGCGGGGTTCAGGGGGAGCCCCCCCCCTCCACCGCCATCACCCCTGCGCGAGGGGATGGTGGAACGGCCCCACACGCTCCCCCCTCCCGGCTCCCCGCGACGCGTCACTCACCGGAGAGAACGGGCTCCCGGCAGCAGCTCAGCGCCAGCCCTGACAAGGCCAGGACGGCGGCGAGGGCGGGGGGCTCCATGGGCAGCGGCTGCCGGGCCGCACCGCACTCGCCGGCGGCAGCCCCACAGCTCCCGGGGCAGAGGTGGTCGTGGGCGGCCGGGAAGAGCGCGAAGTGCGGGAAGCGGCGGCCCTACAGCATGTGTCCTGAAACTGCGCCCCGGCGAGGTGCCGAGTGGCAGATGAGGGATCCTATTACCAGCCATGTGACAGGAAAGGATAGAGACCCAACATCCCAACCTGCTGTAGCGCGGGGCTGGGGAACCGCTGCCTCTGCGTTTGAGACCGAGGGGTTTAGGCTGCTGGTGCTCGCTCCAGTGCCAGGGCAGGGGGTCCGCAAAGCCCTCCGCGCAGGCAGGGCCGCCCCGCCGCCAGTGAGGAACCGCCCGGCGCCCCTTCTCCCCCACTGCGCCCCAGGAGCGACCCACGTCTCGCTCTCGTCACCCCGCTGTGCTCTCACACCGGCCGCACGCCGCGGAGAGGGAGAGGCCAAGCAGGAGCCCGCCAGCCCCATAGCCCGGGCCCTGTCTGCGGCCCGCCGCTGTACCGGCCCCACGCTCGCCCTCCGGGCTGTGGGTCCCAGGGAGTTGTCTGCCAGCAGACGGGAGCGCGCAGGTGCAGCCCGTCTCATCCCTTGCAGCCTGGTCGGGGGTGAAAAGGGAAACCAACAGGACACTGTAAACTCCGTACTGGTGCCGTGCAGCTCTCGCCCGCTCACAGCCGTTCTGCGCGATCGCGGCTTGGCCGCGGGTGCACGCCACAGGCCCGCACCCGAGCAGCGCCTGCCTGAGGGACGCGGCCGCGAGCGGCGTGGAACTGACAGGCCCGCGGCGCTTCAGGGCGCCGTTCTCCAGCGGGAAGGGCACCTCCCGCGCGCGGGACACGGCACGGCCGGGCAGCGGAACACTGCCCCCGCGCGAGGGCAGCGCCACAGGGACCCGCCCCACGGCGCGCGCTGCGTCCCGGCGCAGGGCGGAGCCGGCGTGCGCTGGCATAAGCCCGTGGCGGGGTCTCGCCCGGAGGCGGGTGGGCGCGCGGGGCCGGAGGCTGGGGCGTTCGCGCGCGCACGGACACGAGACACGCGCGGAGCGTTCCTCAGAGACAGCACCGGGAGCGGTGAGTGCGGCCCCTGTCCCCTTCCCCGTCCTCATCCACAGCCAAGCCGCAGAACAGCGTGAGGAGGCGGAACGCTTTAAAGCTGTTGCCGCCACTTCGTCACGGGCTCGTTGGCTGAGCAGCGGCGTTGTGGCGACAGCCAACAGAGAAACCGAACCGGCCAACCACAGAAAGTTACACCTGCTTTGTCAGGAGTGGGAGGGCACAAGTACTTGTAGCACCTTGTGTGCATGTGTAATGGGATGGCACCTTCAAACGTCTGAAAGGGAGAGAGCGATTTTGCCGCTGTGAAAGAGGAAGCAGCAAAATACAGTTTGTAGCTTTTGACTGTTGTATCAGTGCGCGCTGCGGTGCATCTTGCTTTTAGTATGCTGAAACTTCCCGTCATACGAAGCTTCAAGGTTGATTTTGAGGAGAAAAACCTGCTTAACTGTCTTCTGGCCTTTGCGATGTGTAGAAAAAAAACAAGAAAAGGATTGCATACTAGCATGGCTTTATCTGTGTATTTTAATATTACAGCATAATAAGTGTGCCACATTCTTATTTGTTTGAGCTGAATTCCTAGTGATTGTAGAATTTTTAAGCTGATGAAATAGTGACAAACATCATCGGTGTTGTGTTAGCTTGGTGTTATATCTTTGTGGTTTTTTTTTTTTAATAGTAAGTGTAGAAACACTTAGTTCCTACTCACATATATAAGTATATTCAGTTGTTTGGCTTACAAATTCTGCTGAAGTTCCTGAGCTCTAGTTGCAAAGACTGCTGTGAGGAATCACCACAGAATGTATGTGTGTGTGTATGTGTATGTATGGCCATGTGTAAACGAGGGAACTGGAGATTGTTGTGACGTGGGATTTACCAAGACCGACTAGAAGGAACAGCTTGGGGGGTGTTGAGATTGGGTGTTTGTTTTTACCCCTGCTTTGTTTATGTGGGCTAAACTGAATAATTCTGATTCATAGAAATCAACTGCGTTCTCTGATTAACACAAATTTTTCAGGAGGATGAGAGTTGTAATTCATTCCATATATTCCCTTCCCAGTCTGAGCTGTTAACATCAAGTGCTACTAGCACTCCTTTGCAAGTCATGGTGTGTGCATGCAGCACTTTCTTTTGGTACATGCTGTTTAATGACATATGAGACATTACTCTCTTGTGATTTAATGACCCACAGAATTCTCCTCTCAAAGGACTGGGACCCCACTGTGTTACCTGTTCACCTGATTTCTGCTTGTGGCTTGTGGCCTCTATTTACAAACAGCAACAATGGCAACAGCAATGGCAGCTAATACGTAATAATCTTATATTTTTAATGATACATGGTCTGAGGCATTTTTTTCAATTTGTCTTGTTCCCATTATAATGTATAACCTGCACTGTTGTTTTACTCATTTAGTATTCCTGTACATTTGATACATAGTTTATCTTTGTTTTTTAAAACCACCATGATTTTCCAGTAGTTTATTAATTAAAGACATTAGAAAACCAGGCCAAATGACCTGCAAAATTTAGTAATTCTTTCACCATTGAAGAGTTGCACAACACAGCTGACTTCACAAACCCTTTGGGATGTAGGCAAAAGCAAATGGTGAATCCTTTTTTTGTAAAAGGGCTCTGTACAAGGTAGTACTTCAGAAATAACTTTTTAATGAAGATAATGAAACATAATAAAGCTGGAAATAACACACCCCCCTCCCCAACAGTATGCATGTTGCAGTTATACAAGGAAAACATTGCAAGTTTTGCAAAATTTTTCCAGTGCAGGTAGCAGATTTTTTTGTTTTGAACATTGACTCTGACTGGACAGTTGAATAAAGATGGATTAAAAAACCCCAAAACATTAAAGTTAACCTGAAAGGAAAGGTTTCATTATCCAAGTACTTCCTCTCCCTTCCTCCAAAGTGTATCATTTTAAAATTAGGTCAGAACTAAAACACAAATGCCCCTTTGAGCCAGTATTCGGAGACTTGCTCAGATGTAAGAATGCAGTGTTTGAGTATCTTCAGTATCTCTCCCTTCTTACTAAAATCATCCAGCAATCTGCAAATTCAACCCAACTTGCCAGTAGTCATCTGACTGTGCATCCACTTTCACATCTATCTACATCAGTCTTACATGGCCCCAGGGAAGACAATTTTTTTTCTCAGTTAATAGCTAGCATACTAGCCTAGCTATTTTTCCAGCTTTCAACTAATAGAAGTGCAGTGAAATCATGAATTCTTTTGATTTTTGTCAGGACTGTGTTTCTGCTGGCAGAAATGTGACAATTAGAAGGAACAAATGCCCGGAACTCTGTGACTGATGCTTCCAGAAGCATTATCGTTTGCTCATTATTGACAGCAGGCTGAGCCTGCTGTGATACAATCCCAGGAAGTTGGTTATCATTCCACATATAACTAGTGTTGAATTGTATCAAAAGCAGAAATCGAATGATAGCATGCTGTATAAAAACATTATTTGTGTTTAGAAAGTTCATGTTGCTGTGGACAGCTTAATGCACTGCTATGCTTTTTCTGTATTTCATTAAAACCCCTCTGGAGTGTCATTGTTTCTTGTTCAGATACGAGTGGAAACTCCAAAACAAGTTTCTGGTTGCATTTGTGTCTTTGAAAGAAAAGACAATTGTTTTTAAGAAAGCCTGAAAGGCTAGAGATGACTGTTGAAGTAGTTACTGTAATGTCATTGCTTAGATCAAAGTGAGAATATTTGGTTACGTAGAATAGTAATGTACCAATTTTTAAAGTACCAGTTCTGTGTAATTCCAGTGCATACATCCCCAAGGAACAATATTTACATACCAAAAGTAGTATTTGTAGGAAAAGTGCAGCACTCCCTTATTTGAGCAACATTTGATGAAATTAGAGAACACTGAGGTTTGCTGTTATCCCTGTGCAACAGTCAATTTCTGTTTTCTAGTACAGTGGTCTAAATTACAGGAGCAAAAGGAGAAACTGGGCGAATGTCACTTTTGAAAACACTAATAGGGTCTAAGTTGGGTTTTGAGTACAAGAAAGACAGCGGAAGTGGGGAATTTGGTGAATTCTGTACCCAACATTGACTTCCCCCCCACCACCACCCTTTTTTCCTCTAAGAGAAACATATCACAAGAATATTAATAGATGCATTCATGACTACGTGGAACCATCATAACTAACTGAGAGGGAAAAGCATATGCCAGTTTACTGAGTACCTTTGTATTTTAATTTCCTGCAATTTGTTTTCTAAATACTGTGATTCTGCACACACACCCTACCCCCTCGAATTACTGCCCTTGGAATCATGTGTTGGTCTGAAAAACTTATCTTTCACTTTGAGGATACAAATGTCACTAGAGAGAGCCTGAAAATACAGCCCCTACTTGGTTTTCTGTTTATTAAAGAAGAAAAACATCTAAAAGCATGTAGCATTCAATTATTAGGATTTCTGTATATTTCTGTTGGCCTTGCTGCTCTTTAAGATACTTCACTCTACCTTACTCTGCAAGTCTGGTCCTATCTGTGAACACTCAGAACAGTTCCTTTTCAGATGAATGTCAGAGTTGGATGCAGAGGCAGAAATTTTCAAAGACCTGCAGGATGTAGGACCTGCAGGAGTACCCACTAGATGACAGACGTTAATGATTCAATAATTGTCTCATAAGCTTTCCCTAGTTAAAAATTATCTGTTCAGAATGTTACTGCTACACAAAGGACTGCATCTTCTATTGCTACCCCCATACAGAGCCCCACTGAGTGCTATGGACTTTTCATTAAACTCTCTCAATTATTTTAAATTTTTTTCATAAATTATGAGCTTTTTGTAGCATATGAAAAATACCTACAGATTTGCAAAATATACAAGATTTTAGAAGGGTTGATGGGTTTATTCTGTTTTTTTTTTAATTATTTTTTAATGTGCAATTCTGAGTTTAGAGCAGCAGGTCTGTAACCTGATCCCAAATGGGAGATATCTATGGTAGTGCTTTAACAAGATGGGTTTTTATGTAGGAGTCTGGGGTGTGTGAAATCTGGCAAATACAGGAGGTGTTCTTTGTCTGTGCATTTTTATGCATGAAAAAGCCATTAATTGCTGCAGTTATCTACCCTGTGTGGAGTGTCCATTTTGTTTTGTACAGGGGAAGAAGAAAAAGCTGTTGGGATATGAATGTTCTCTGTGAAATGTAGGAAACAATGTTTATGTGATTTAAAGGGAAGGAGAAAAATTTAGTAGTCTCTGGCCCTTTGATAGACAATTGATGATTGAACTCAGAATCAATGGGCTGTATTTTTGGTGATGGACATAGCTCTCATACTGTGTTCTGGTTTAAGAGTCTCTGAAATTACAAGCCTGTTAGGCACAGGGCCAAAAGCATAGCACTGGTTAACAGACTGAACTATATACATAATGTATGAAATCATAACAACTTCTTAAGACAAAGTACTAAAACCTCCAGGAAGTCATTTATTAGCCAAGTAACATTTTGTAGAGATTTATTTTAAAATTTTAATAGTTTTTGTAGTGAGTTTATTTCTGTGTGGTAGAAAGGTTCCAAGAATGGGAAGCAGACTGATATAGTTTTAAAATTTTGTTCACCTCTTTGGCACAAGAGACATGTAAGTATTCTCTAGGCAAATTCATGCATGCTTTAAAGTGGGAATATGTTCAAAGATACGTGGAAAGTTGCATTATCGTGCAGTGCATTCCTTGGATGATACATCAAATTTACCTATTGGTATCATAAGCACACCGG